TTCTGTTTCTTGGGGGGTTTTTTCCCCGCCGGGGACCTACTACTACTACTACTACTACTACTACTACTACTACTACTCCTGCTGCTGCTGCTGCCGCTGCTGCTGCTGCTGCTGCTGCCGCCGCTGCTGCTGGCTACTGTCACTGCTACGACGACCACTACCACTACCATAACCAGTAACCAATACAACTTCAAATTCCACTGCCACCACCATTCTTCATGGTGCTTGCCTTCCTGTTGCCGCTACTGCCCTTGCACTTGCAGTGATTGTTATCAAAAATCTGGCTGCCATTAGAGTTGCCAGGGTGTCTGCTACCGCTAATCCTTCTTCTACTGCCACACCCCAACATGGGTTCTGCCGATTCAAACTATCGCGATCATATGCATCCCTACACTTCTTGGCACTAAACTCTGCGTGCTTCATGGCTGTCCTGGGGGGCCTCCGTCACTTCCGTCCCTGGCGCATCTTGCGCGGAAGCGTCCTCCGAAAACTCTGCAAGCGGTCGCCTTCGATTGCTTGGAAAGCTGTCAGAAGGTCTAAACTGGGGTCAGGGTTTAGCTGATCGGACTGGTACTTGGACTCTTAAGCCACTGCCACTGACGCCGACGAGAAGAAAAAAATGCCGATGGAAATTCCGACAGGCCAAGTGCAGCTGAAGAAACCTAGAAACAGCTAACCTCTGGATGGTGCCAGATGTCCTCCATCAACAAGGTCGCTCAAGTCTTTGGATGACATGTTGCATGTGCATTATGTGACGCAAGGGCACCAGTGCAATGACAAGGGGCTCAGCTGTGGTGTGAAGCGGGACAAACGCTGCTGGGAAGGACCTGCATCAAAGTCGTGGCAGTGCTGAAGAGTAAGTTTACTTGTCCGGCAAAGCCATGCGCGGTCGCAGCTGCACTGAACATGGAAGCTTCTGAAATCGACACCTACACTCCCAGTATAACACCACTAAATCACTCGGGTCCCTAGAGGCACCTATTTCGGAATCCCACACATGGCCGGCAGGGAGGCTTGCATCTTGTAGGCAGATTCGCCGTGCCTGGTCATGGATGTAGACGCAGGCATTGCAATGGTCGGCCCTTAGGCTACTTTGAACTCGTGCAATGCAGACGACCACTTCTTCAGCTAATCCGCGCGGTTTGACTTCAGCCGGCTTCAGCTGATAGCACATGCATGCTAGGCCTTGATTTCGCTGGGCGCACGTGGGAGTTTCTCAACATGATCCTCATCCTGTGGTAACCTGGTTATTGGATGTCTTCAGGCTGCCCAAGGCCCCTCCCACTGGAGAAACTTGCACATGAGTCGCTTTTTCTGGTGGTTGAACCTAGTAAGATTGTAATCCTTATATAAAATCCTATACCCCAGAAGGAGGATAGAATCTTACTCTATAATGGGTACCATAATATCCCCAAATAGAACACTACTCACATGGATTTGCCAACTCCAGCAGGCAAACTGGCTCCCTCAGGATGCAGGCGAGTTGCTCCCTGCTTCGCGGCCGCCCTGCGCACAGCACGTGCAGCTGGCAGATACACAGGATCTTGAAGAACCCAAGGGATGTGTGGGCAGTTTCCATAAAATAGGTAAATAGGGGTACCCTCATATACTCCAGCATACGTTACTCCTGATTATGCTGACCTTCCACTGCTGAAGTTTTTGGCGACCCCAAATATTGAAATGGGGTTTAGCTTCTTACTAAACCCTAAATAGTAGTTTCCATTTTCTTCTCCATTATCTCTTCTACCCCTATAGATTCCCGCGGAAAAAGGGGGGTCCTCTTTAGTTTAACTCCTGGTATGCTCCTTCAGACCCCCCTGCACAATCCCCTATATAAGCCCTCCTTGAAAAGAGTGTAGACTAGACCCTAAACCCTAAACCCTATATAATCCCCTATATAATCCCCCTTTACGGAGTTCAGACCAGACACTACGCCTTAAACCCTATGTGATCCCCTATATAACCCGCTTTAAGGAGTTTAGGCTAGAGAGATATATATATATATAATCCCCTCATAATCCACTGTTGGACTATAGCTCAGTCTACTACTCGACTGCCTCCCGTCCCTGTCGCTCTGCCATGCCGGCATCGGAGGATGGTAAGGCCTCTTTGCTTGATCCAGATTGTCCCTTGAAGGTTTAAGGGTTTGTTTAGGGTTTAGAGTTTACGGTTTAGGCTTATCTCAGGAGTCTAAGAGTTTAGTTTAAGTTCACTTGTTTAGGAACTCAAGGGTTTAGGGTTTAGGTGCTACAGGGTTTGAGGGTTGTAGGCAGGGGTGATGAGCCTTTGTAGAGGCAGCTACTATTGTATAGTGTTTGGGAGTAAATAGGAACCAACTGAGGGTCCCACAAAGACTACTGACCTGTGTTCGTTTCAAGCAGTGGCGAGCTATCTGACTATACGGCGAAGAAAGGTACCTGTCATATTCACATGGGATGGAAAGAAATAGAAGTAGTAGGAGCAGGAGGAGCAAGTGTGGAAGTACAGTTCGGGCTTCTAATGAATGACCTTGGTCTAGACTCTAGACTTTGGGATGGAGGGATTTATCCAGCAATTGGATCCCCCCGATGGCATGGCAAAAAAGGCATGGCCAAAAGGCATGGCCTACTTTCAAACAGGCATCTAGAACTGAAGAAGCGTGACTTCCAAAGTGTCCTTGCGATTGGAGGCTTCCAGGAATGCCGGGAAGTTCTTTTTCTGATTACTCCACAGCCATCGACAACGCTAGCAACTCCACCCTCCAAGCTTCGTGGGTACTTCTTAATGTAGACCCGCATTCAAAGGAGGCATTACAATTGGGATCCTACTATTAAGGTCCTCAAAAGGAGGGGGCTTATTAATCGCGGGTCTACATTAGCATTGAGGTTGAAAAGGGACCCCTGGTTTGCCTTGCCAGTCGCCTGCGGGGCCCTCGGTGTGCCGCCGTCACTGAGGGCTCGTTGCTGCAACAACTGGCAGCAGGAAGCGTCTTCCGTACAGGGCGTCTTCTTAAAACTACTAGTCCCTTTCTTTGGCTGCTACGCCAATGATTGAACAAACGTTAGACATGTTGCTCGCCATGTGAACCACAGCTTGTTTGCGAGGTGTCGAGTCTAGAGGCGCCGGTTCTACGATCCTGAAAGGACTATTCCACATCTCTACATTCGAGCAGTCTACATCTCGCTTGGCAATCATAACCTAGTCTGCGCAAATAGCCTCTCATTACGCGCAACGCCATTAAGAGTGGGCAGGCCTCATCCTGCTCATCCAGCATGCCCACATTGTCCAGGCTCATAGCACGCCGTCCCTGTTCACGGACTTTAGGTGGGATTTGTGGGGGCCTTCAGCTCGTAGAGGAATCTGGCAAACTGAAACGAAATCTGCGCGTTTGTGCCTGGGTGACTGCACACTGCAAGGGGTTGGGTTCCAGACTTGATATTGAGTATTGATTCTGCAAGACAACTTTGAGAGCTGAGTCTTCAGCTGACAGTGCAGGGAAACCGAGCATGCAAAGTCACGCAGAGGGAATGATTGATTTCCGCCTTTCAAGAGAAGCTACACGCACCGTTCAACTATGCATGATGGAAATCACCGCGCTGCGAGCTTTCATTCGTGCAGGCTGATGGCCTCCACCCACTTTAAGATCCCTATCTTCGTCAGCACTCGTAACAGCTTTATAGACCAGATCCTCTGCACTCACGCATCATGTGCATCATGTGCACGACTACTATCACCTGGGGCTGTACAACCTCATCATATCCTGCCTTTTAATCAGTGGCTTCAGTGCCTGTGCAAGGACTTTTGCTACCGGTGTCATGGCACGGCTGTATGAGTTGCTGTCGTCTTTGTTACCTCATAATACTTCCATTGTAATTCTTTCTAATAATCCTGCCCTTACTATTTTGGATCAATCTTGCTTCATCTACTGTCACGATGTCCAAGCCCCGGACACAGAGCGGGCGGCCTCAGGTGGCTCCGACAAGGCCATATGGAGCCGATTCATGGATCAAAAAATATCACCACTTAGGATTCCTAAGCGGTGCGCCCCCATATTTCTGTGGGGTGATGCAAAGTTGCATCCATCTGAAGTGGCTGTGCCGTACAAGAGATCTAGAGGGTCATCAGGACGTGCACTCGAGCTGCAAGTCCGTAATCTGAATTTGCATCTCTTTCAGCGGGATATGTTTGTGGTGTTCGTTTCAGTGAGCCCTTGCAACCTCAGCAGCAGAATAGCAGCAGCCTCACAGCCTCTGGCACCAAGGTTCTGATAGCGCTCATAATTATTTGACATCCCGTTGTGGTATTCAAGTGTGTCTGTCATTACATCTGGCTGCGTGCCAGGCAGCTGAGGGCTGTGGTCGTTGGCGGCGCGGTGTGGCCATCCTTCATGTAGGTAATCATAAGAATACTGTTATGTAGCAGGGGGCTCTCTGCAAGCGCATGAAGACTCCACTCAGGAGAGGGTTCAGGACAAGTCCTAGGTTCTATCTCTGCCTGATAGCTAGGCACCCTGCTGGCGTGGAAAGGAGGCATGCCAAGAATCATTCTCAGGACTATTCTGTAGAGCAGAAGTGGCCTAAACCTGCGGGGTGTCCCCGCAGATTTTCAGAATGAAAGCTATCACATGCTTAGTCATCAGAATTTGGGAGTGGGATGTCATACTGGCTTTTGCCTAGGGACGACATAAATTCAAATGAATTCAAATGCGTTCCCTTCTTTCTTTCCAAAACCTTCATCGGGAGTTGGAAGCTCCAACCCTAAAACGGCGGCCGCCACTTGGGACAGCCCAGGCCCACAACCCCGCACATCACAATCCTGGAATGCTGCACACGTGCCCCTTCCACAACCTTTCAGACATCGACCTGCAAGTCTGAAAGGCCCCTCAACCTTGTCTCCGCTGGTGCCTAGTAGGGAATAACGGAATATCATCCCTATATAACCATATATATATATATATGACCTAACATATTCCCTTATCTCCCATCATTCCCCCGAGAGATCTTGCCAGGGTTCCTCCGGACTCTTGACCGGATCTACCAGCTCACTGGGTTGTGCAGTCACCTCCTGCTCCATGTCATCCTGCTCCGGAGCGACCTGCACAACGCTTGCAGCTGGAATTTGCCCTTTTTGCCTCAAGATAAGGTTTTTAGGATTTCAGGGTTTGGGGTTTAGGGGTTTTAGGGTTTAGAGGTTTTAGGGTTTAGGGTTTTGGAGTGTAGGGTCTAAGGTTTTAGGGCTCAGGGTTTTGGAGTTTGGGGTTGTGGGGTTCATGTTCCTTTGAGCTTCCTTTCATCTGCTGTTTGTACTCTAAAGGATTTGGAAGCCCAGTAGAAATTTTAATTTCAGCTAAAGATTAGGATTGTTGGCCACAGAAATTACTAAATATTTTCAGAAACCTTGTAGTGTATGGTTGTGATGATGAGGGAAGCCCTGAGGTCTGCTGACATGTTTCGCAAAGCTTGTTGTGATATGGACCTTGGTGGCAAGGTTGGCCTCAACAAAATACTCAAGCAGTCGGTAGAAGCATTAAAGCTCATAGGGGCTATACAGGAAGAATGGATAAGACAATGGAATACATATATGTAGATGTGTATATATATATGAATGCATAAGGAGTATGGGGATATATAACAGCCAACATGAACACTTATGATGTAGGAGGTAATTGACAAGCCCCCGAGTGACCCACCCCTTGGGGTTCTCAAGGTAATGGGTGCTATATGGCGAGCCAGTTTGCACCACAGCACTTGAGGTTCCGTGAAAACAGTAATAGCAACAATAATTATTAGGGTAAGAGACTTGACCCAAGTTTGGAGATGACCCCTTGACCCTAAACCCTAAACCCTAAACCCTAAAACCCTAAACCCTAAACCCTAAGACCCTAAAACCCTAACTTTGGTGATCATTCACGACGGAGCCTCCTTTGTCTCTTCGTCAGCGGACATTTCCTCATCAACCGGCTCGTGCGAGTGCTCCTCAAGGATCTTCAGAAGATGCAGGAGGACCTGTCCAGTAGAGTTTAGAGTTTAATGTTTAGGGTGTCCATGGCACACCTTAGGTGGACCCCCCGCCCTGTAAAAGTGACTATAGGGGATAATAGGGATTATATTAGGGTCCTCATATATTCCCCAACAGCGGATACGCGTAAGGGGTCTACAATCTGTAAGCAAAGGCGCGGTGACTAAGTTTCGGGTAACGGGTTCCCGAGA